TATTTTTGTTATAATTGAAGGATTTAAAGACGACAACACTGTACAATAAAAAAAAAAGTGGTTGAACATACTTATGGTAAGTTTTGTAAATTTAAAATTTACATGATTGTAGTTTTTATTAGGCACAAACACATTTACTGTATATAGGCAGTTCATCGTCTTAATTAAGGTTTGTCGTCACAAAATTTTAATTGATAGGTTAAACAATTTTATAAAACGTAATAAATATAGGCTTGGTGGACGTAATGTAAAACTAAGAAAAAAAAAAACAGATCAATTCTTTCTCTATTCAATATTTTATTTCGAATACAAAAAACTCTATTCAAATTTATTATAGGAAACCAATTGAAAATTTTAATTGTAAATTGCACAATATAATTAAATATGCGACTAATGTATATACATATATAAATTATTCAAGATTGACTCAAAAGCTGTTTAAAAGTTTTCTATTTCTAATCACAACCAAATTTTTTTAATATTTTAGTTAAAAACGAAATATCTAAAGTTGTTTGAAGTACAATTAAAATTTTTTCTTAAATATATAATTTCACTCACCCAATAATAATGGAACCATGGCAAACTTGGTCTGCTCCTGTCCAAATCTCTATGATACCATTCGTCATTCACTAAACTAAACTAAAATTTTTCCATATTTAAATGCAATATAATAAAATATTAATTAATTTATTCGAATTGTAATGTAAACTAAATTCATAATTTAGTTTTATCAAAAGAACTTTAAAATTTTATTTGTTCCATATGTATAAAATTTTAATTTCACTTTTTCATAAAAATCTTGAATTATTTATTTTAATAAATACATAAGACAGCCACAGAATGTAGAATTTATTTACATGCAAATTTTCTTATTAAATTATAAATTTAAAATTCAATTCTAGAAGACTAGAATACAAAATATTTTGAATTTACTTTACAAATAAATTATGAAAAACCACATAATTTTTGTCGTAGCATTTAAATTAATGAAAAACCAAAGGAAAACTTTTAAAAAAATTTCATATAAATACGAATGTCATTCCAACAAATTACTTATCAGTTTATAAAATACTGTCAAAACGATCACAAGTTCAAGATGGCTAACACATTAAAAGCGGCTCTATCATTTCTCTTCATTTTAGTCATCTCTCAGGTAAAAGCAAAAAAAAAAAATAAAATTCGAGTGATCATTTTTTAAAAGCAAATTTTTTTTTCATATTTATGTAAATAGATGGCATTAGCTGTAGATGATGAATGGGAATTCGAAGATCCACCAATTCTTGATTTATTATAAACGTGAAGAAAATTCGAAAAAAACTATACTACTATTTCCGAACAAAATGGATATCTGCACAACTAACACTATTTTATTCTCTACAATTTTACATTAATATTTTTCTCCATGTACAACAACAAAAATGGAATCTTAAATGCGTCGCTCATCTTTTACTGCTGTACTAGATGAAAGAAAATTTCTTTTGAACAATGAACATTTAATCTTTTTATTAATTATTATAATAGTTACTTAGCTAATAATTGTATTTTTCAACTCTTTTTTTATTTTTTCTATAATAATAACCGACAACAATAACATCGACAATAACATCGAAAATAACATTGACAATAACATTAATAACAACGAAAATATAGTCTTCATAAGGGGTGTTTTTTTTTATTTTAAGAAGAAGAAGCAAAGTAAAAAAATGGACATTATTTTTTATATATAACCATTTCAAAAATAAAAGTAAACCATCGGCCTTGTCTTATTATTAATTTTGTTTAAATTTTTCTATATTTTATAAATTTAAAAAATAAGAGAAAAAACTTCAATAAAAAGTACACTACAACAAAAAAAAGATAAAGTAAATTTCTTTTATTTTAATTATTAATTAATTGAAAAATTCATCTACATAAGATTTTCAGAAACATTTGTACTATTATTATTAATTTGCTCGACATCATCGTTATCATTATGATTTTCTAATAAATTTTCAAGTTGGCAAAATTTTTGTTTATTTTTAAAGCATTCTATATTCAATTCTTTTAATCTTTTACAATTTGCAATTGAATTCAAACGTAAAAAACATGGACCTATACACTTCATATTAATACAATGCAATGAATAAGCTTTAATATTTGGTAAATTTTTCAAAACACAAGCCCCTAATGCGGAACGATTATAATTCATCTGAGTTGCACCTTTCCTACAATAAATGAAATATTTAGAAAACTATATTTTATTAAAATTAAATTTTAATATGTGATTTAAAATATATACTCGTATGTATATCTACACGTATTTTTACCATATATTTAACGTTATATCATATTGTTCGACAAATGGTATTGTTGCCGAACCATTGTATCCACCAGCAACATAAATAGTATCATCAATAACAGCAGTTGCAAAATTACTTCTTGGTAACATCATACCAGCAATTTCAGACCATTTTGAATTTTTTATACAATAACGTTCAACTGAACTTAAACGTGAATGACCATTGAAACCACCAATAGCATATATATAATTATTTAAGGTGACAAGACCAACACCTGATCTTGGACTTAACATATGTGAAATAATTGTCCAATTATCATTCTCTTTGTCATATCTTTCACAACAATTTAAAATTTCATTACCATTAAATCCTCCAACAATATATATCTAAAAATAAATCCAAAAAAAAAAAAAAAAAAAATCATAGAAATATTTTAGTTTTAAATTATTTACATAATTTCCTGAAGCTACTGCAGCTGCATCAGATCGTTGTTTTTGCATTGATGATAAGATTTCCCATTGATTTGTATTTGGATCATAACGTTCTACAGAATTTAAACGTGTATGACCGTCATAACCTCCTAAAGCATATATTTTCCCGTCTTCCGTAAAAGCAAAAATAATTGAATACATTTTTGAAGATTTTCCAATAAGATTCTTATATTTATATTTATAATTATGATTTACCTAAGACAGCAACACTAACGTAACATCTCGATTGATTCATACAAGCTTTTTCTTTCCATTTATATTCGATAGGATCAAAACAACGTACTGAATTGTAATAATTAAAACCATGAAAACCACCAATAACATAAACTTTTTTATTTACCGTACAAACTCCATGATACTCTCTTTGTTTATCAGTATAACGCATTTCTAACCAGATATCAGCTCTTGCATATTGTAGAAAATAAAATGTAATTAATACACATATACTAATTTGTTCAATTGAACTCACCTTGTGTCATAAATTTCAATTTTATCAGTTGGACTACCATTAAACCATCCACCAATAACCATTAATATTTTATTTGGTATTCTCGTTTTATATTGTAAAGGTAAAATTTGTTTTTGAAGATCCTTTTTAAAATAAAAAATTAAATTTAAATTTACTAATCTTTAATTAATTGATTTTTGATCATTTATTGTTTGGGATTTTGTGTTTTTATTTTAAATCGATTCTACCATAAAAAGACTGACCATCGGAAAACGCTTTAGATTATTAGAATTTGAACAACTAGCTAAGAATGCTCTCGGTGAACAACATTTTTACGTTTTCGTTCTTTCGATTAGCCGTCAAAATCATGTTATCATACGTTTCGGGATTATTTTTTTGGAGCGACTGCAATTAATGAATTTCCGATCGAAACGAGTGAGAATGTGGCTCAGATCGTAACACAGTTAAATAAAATTTTCTTTTTAATTTACTCGAAATCAATACTACTTATATAGAAAAAAAATTACCATGCTTTCACAAATATATTTCCAATTCAAAATATTATTTTTTAATTCTTTATTACTTAGTAAACCAATTCTAATGCAGGGTAATAATTCTTTGATCCATTTTAATCTCTCTTGTAAATCATATTCTATCCAATTTTTAATAGCATCAAATACAATTAATTCATTCTTTACATTTAAATATTCATCCGATAAGATGTTCTTTAAATCATCACAACATAATTGTTGTAATTCAGGACTTTTTTTTAAAATATTTGTAAAATTTTTTAATATAAAAAATTTTGTATAATTTTCCAATTCTTTACAAAAATAATTTTTGGCAAATAAATAAATTCCAATACAATTTTCAATATTAAGTTCTTCATATAAAAATTTACAACATAATTTAATTATTCCAATTATTTGATAATGATCAGATGATGCAAGTAATTCTTCAACATTTGACCAATTAATATTACAAGTTCCTGTATAAGCATAATCTAAAATTATTTTCATAATTGTATCTGAAAGATCTAAATTAATTTCAGTAATTTCGATATTTCGATTATTATTATTTTTTGAAATTTCATCAATTGTTTGATAAGAATTGTTAGAACATTTGTAAGAAATATTAGATCTTGATGATTGTTTCTTACTTAAAGGTGTAGTATTAGTTTCACTATTATATGTGAATGTTGCTTTAAAATATTCACTACATGATGATAAAATAATTCTATGAACTTTAAATTCAGTGCCTGACGGTAACTTTATTATTGCATCACTAAATTGCATTTGTTCACGTAACTCCTTCCAATATTCGGGAAATTTATTTTCATCTATAATCACATTACTAAAATAGGAATTTTTTCTATTACAATTCCCTGTATTGCTCCTGTCGTTACTGTCATAGTGTTTGTTTTGTTTATTTTGATTGAAATTTCGTTTATTCAATTGACTACCACAACTAAATGAGTCTTCCATTAATTTCAATTTTTTTTATTTGTTTCAAAATTTTCTTATATTTCGTTTCTTTTCTTCTTTGTTCTATTAAATGACAAAAAAAAATATTTTTTTTGAAAAGACTATTTTTTCAAAACAAACGATTTCCATTTTTTTAAAATTTTAAAAATAATTATAAAGTATTTGTGATACGAAACGGAAGCAAGAGATTTCCATATTTAAATTAATTGTTGCAGTGCTACCATTTTGAAAAATTTAAAACAAAAAATTGAATTTGTATAACAACTTAATCAAAAATGTTTTTTTTTTTTATTTCCAGAGTGAATTCGAAGGCATCTTATTTACCTCGTCAAACTCGAGATAAATTTAATAATGCTGATCCAGATCATGGCAGCTATAAATTAACATTAACTTCAAATGAGGACAGTATTATTAGCCAACATTCAACAATTACACCAATAAAGCATATATCGTATCAAGAAGAAATTTTACCACCAAAACCTAAATGTAATAATAATAATTTACCCGATGTTTTGCTAGTTGGTGTTAAACTTCAGCAATCCTCACCTACATCAAATACACCATCACCAAAATATGGTATCAATAACAACAATAATATCGGTAATTTGCCAAATACTAATAATTCACCAACGACACCTACACCAACTACACCAAATGGACAAACGGTACTCTATCCACACGGATATCCATGCAATATGAAAGTAATTATGTCACAAACAAATTCACCTTCACAAATTAATCATCAATCTCAGCAACAACTACAGCGTTTAAATAGATCTCCAGCTACAACACCAAGCACTCCACCACCGCCATATTCTTCCATGACAAGCCTCAATCAGAGATCAAATCAAAATAGTTGTTATAATAGTCCAACACAATTAAATGATCAATCAAGTCCCAAATATATGTCACAATCAACGATCGACTTAAAAAGAACGCAATTTCTTGATTCTAAAGAAAGCGTTAATAAGTTTAATGATGGAATTTTATCTCCAGCTCAATCAGAAAATAATATATCACATCAACTGGTTTCAACACCAACAAATCTTAATGAATCCAGTCAATTGAATTCTTTTACGTCAATTAAACAACGAGATTTTCAACGTACCGATATTATACGAAAATTAAGTTTAGAAGAACATCATGATCCTGGTGAAGGTAGAATTGTAAGAGCTGAATTAGTAAATACAACTTTATCAATATCACCGCCAATATCAAAGTCAGAAGAAAAAATTTCAATAAAACGAGAATCACTACGTGAAAATATTGAAAAAATAACTCAGTTACAATCAAAATTAATGTCAGCTCATACAATGGATAATATTTGTGGGGATCGTAAAATTTTAGGATATACAACTAAAAACTTAAAACTAGAAGCAACACAAAGTTCTCTTAATCAAGATAATTCTAAAATATTAAAACAAATAGAATGTAAACAATCGTGTTTGCCTGAAAGCCCCATTAAAATAACAAGTCCAGTTCAATTTACATGCTCCTCGCCTAATATCAGTATGAATAAAAATCTTAATACATCTTCAGATTGTAAACAAAAAGCTTTACCAAAAATGGAAAATTCTTCAACAGAAGTCTCAACAACAACAGAAAATCAATTAATACAACGAACTGAAATCATATTGAGAGTTAATCCTCCTACAACTGAAACAGCTTCCCAAACAGATGAAACACTACAAACTTCATCTACAGATAATCAATTGGCATTAGGAAACGAATCAAATTCAAATAATTTTACATATCAAAAATCAATAGATCGTATATCAACACCCAGCCCAACATTAATGCCTCGTCGAAAATTATCAGAAGAAATTGATTGTGATATACTATCCCAAAAATTGGCTAGTCTCTTGCCATCATCAGAGGATAAATTAAGTCAAATATTAACTCCAAGTACTTACAAATCAACAGCAGACTATGTAATAAATTTATATAATCCAAATGTTGCTCCTAGACCAGCTAAACGAGATGCAGCAACATCAACACCAAGTGAAAAATTCTTTGATATTGATAAATTAGATAATATAAAAGATAAATCATTTTCAATTGATTGTAACGGTCAAGATTACTCTAAATTAAATGGTACCGTTAACGGTGAAACAAGTTTATGTGACTTAACGAAAAAGAAAGTAAGTATAAGGTGCAATTTATGAATTTTTTCCTTCAGTTTTTCATTCAAACCTTCATTAGACCCTATAGTTTTGGTAAGAAATTTCAAATAAAAGAAAAAAAATTAAGACGTTTATAATATAAATATTCCAATTTTTTTTATAATGATATTTTCTTTTGTAGGAGGAATTAATAAATCGTTTAACGAAGAAATTAGATGTCCTTACTAAAGAGCAATATTCCATTAAGGAGGAAACTCAAAGTAATGATCAATTGGGTAGCAATATAGCAACAAAGATTGCCGATAAAGTTCGACCAATTGATGTAACCAAATTCAAAGCATATATTGATGATGTCGGTCATATCACAATGTTATTATTATCACTATCAGGACGATTAGCCAAAATTGAGAACACATTGCATGGCATTAATGAGAATTCAACAGAAAAGGTGTGTACAACCAACTCCTGAAATAAATATCAATGAAGAAATATTGTTAATGAAATATTGAATTTTATACTAAAAATATTTAAAAAAAAAAAATTTTATTGTCACTAATAATTTTTTTTTATATTTTTAGAAAACTCTTGAGTCAAAACGTGATCGCTTAACAGAACAACTTGAAGAAGCCAAAAAACTAAAAGAAGATATCGATCGACGAGGTTCAATTGTTTATAAAATAATCGAAAGAAATTTAACAAATGATGATTGTGCCGATTATGAATATTTTATTAATATGAAAGCTAAATTAATAATCGATTTAAGAGAAATCGATGATAAAATGAAATTAGGTGAAGAACAATTGAAGGCATTAAAAGAAACTTTACAAATTCAAAGTGAATGCTGAAACTAGTTATATAATTCTTTTTTTTTTTTTTTAAAAAAACACTTATAATAAATTATAATAAGAATCTTTTATTGCAAAAAAAAAAATTATGAAATTCTTTTAGAATCGAGATTATTTTAAATAAAATTTAAAAAGAAACAAAAAAAAAAAAGATTTTAGAAGTTTTGAACTTTTTACTTTAAAAACCTTATTACTTTATATGTATATCGAAAATAAAAAGATAAAAAAAAAATTAATTTATAGATTTTTCTAATTTTTTTTTTAATTTTAATTTTTTAAGTTTATTTCGAAATAAGCTGTGTGTATTCGATTTTTTTTTAAATAAGTTACGTAAAAAAAAATTAAAATTAAATATTGCCTGTGAAATTATAATAATAATTTTTTTTAAATATGCTATATAAAATACATTTATAATATAATATATATATATATACATACATTTAATTTTTTCAATTATTTAAATTAAAAGAAAAAATTACATTATAAAAAATAAAATAGTTTTCTGCTATAAAACTCTTACTTTTTTACCCTTACCAATTCAAAAATTACACAAACTAGTGAATAAAAAAGAAACACAAAAGTTACATTTTTTTTAATGTCATTTAAAAACTACTTAAAACTATTAAAATTTTTAATTTATAAAAACTTTACATTATAAATTATATAAAAACAATTTATGAAACTCAGAATTATCAATATTAGAACATCTCAAATTCAATTTTGTACCAATTTTGTTCGAGAAAAATCGTTTGGCCAATATATGTAAATTGCTATAACTGCCGAAGAATGTCTACAATTACATTTTTGTTTAATTTCAAAAATTTAATTGAATTTATATAATAATTTTTTCAAAATTAAATCCTCCTTCCTCAAGAGAATTATAAAAAAATTTTTCAATAACTTCAAAATAATAAAGTTAAAACTTTTATTGATTGCCTTTAAAATTATATAATATCAATTTTACATGATAAAGCGAAAGGAATTGAGATTAAATCAGGTAAAAATGAAATTCAGTATTTGGTATTTGCTTAATCCTATCTTCTAATAATGTTCATAAGATAATTTAACATATAGTAAATTTTGTATAATCAGTAACCCCAACATTACCATCCATTTCTTAGAAAAAGAAAAGTATAGGTACTGATAAGAAGTAAATATAAGACAAAATTTATAAACAATTTTAAAATATAAAAATTACTATTTTTAAATAAATAAATAAAGGGTTTGTACATAAATATATTCTATATAGAATAATAAAACAAATAGGTTCAGAAATTTATTCATAATTTTAAATATAAATGAATTTAAAAAATTCAGAAATCGAAAGTTGATAAAAATTTACAATAATTTTCGGAAATTGAAAGAATTGCAAATTATTGAAAAATTAATTTTAATTTTATTATTTTTATTATAAAAAATATACATATATTTATTATCGATTTAAATTTCTACTATTTCAATACATATTGTTGAAATAATTTAGAGATTTTATTTCTGTTTTATCTTTGAAAAGAAAAAAAAAAGCAAAGAAACGATTACAACAATATAAGATTTTAAATTAAAGAAATATTGAATTTTAGATTTGCATTTTTGTTTTTTTTTTGTAGATGACCTACGGCTACCAAATAAATAATTAAAATTTTATTTAAACTATCATTTTTTATTAACTAAAAATTTCCATAAATAATTTTCATATTATCATTTGGACAATTTAGTAGAAGAGTGCAAAACATAATTATTATAAAATTATTCAAATAACAAAACTGATTTTAAAGGAGAATTTAATTATGTTATTAATTAAATATTAATTATGAAACATTAATAACAATTCTTGAATATCCTATATTAATTAAATATTAAAATATTCTTGAAAGATTAAAACATCAAAATTTCATTTTCTATATTATTGCATTATATTATTGGTGAACTACTATTAAAATAGAAAACTACAATAATTGAAAAAGAGACAAGTTAGCATATTTCTTTTTATCAAATTTACAGATTTACATACCATGGATTATCATAAATAGCTGCTTTAGTCCTCTTACTGAAATAAATTTGAATACTTTGCTCATAATTGGTTTTAATAAGATACGAAAATTTTTTAAAATTCTTTACTAGATTCAATACTTTTTGCAATAATTTTTTAAAATACCCAATATTTTATTAAAATATTAATATAAAAACAAAATCGTTGTATACTGAGAAACATTTAATTGCCACCAATGGTGCTTTTGTTAAAAATAATAATTTTATTTTTTTTTACTTTATAGCTGTATGAATAAAAAAATAATTAAATATAAAAATAAATTTAACTTTAGATAGATTTTCAAATTTCGGAATAATTAATAAATTTTCCTTAATTTTTTTTTTTAGTTTTTTTTTTAATTTATTTTTATATTTGAAATGGAATTTTTATTTCTACAAAATTTTGTGAATACTTAAAATAAATGTACGATAGTAAAAATAATAAGAACGTAATTAGAAAATTAAAAATATTTTAAAATATAATTTTCATTTTAATTTCTCTTAAATGCTTTTTTTTTTTTTGTTTTTTGTTTGTATGCATATTTAAATTACTTACTTTTGTGATTAATTCTTTTTTAAAGCTTTAAAAAAATATGAACGTATATTTTTTTAAATTTACTTGATTATCTCGTTTATCTTTATAAAGTTATAGATTTTTTTTTAATTCTTCTTGTTTTTAAAATAATTAAAAATTAAAACAAACATTTTTTTTTTAGTTATACAATATTTTATTTTTACTCTTATTTTAGTCTACATGACGATTAGTTCGTAAGGAAATTTAAATTAGTAATATAAAATTTCAAAACTAAAAGTGAAATGAAAGTAAAAAATAAATGAAGAATGTTATAAAGAAAATAAACTTAAGAAAAAAATGCTTATGAAATTTACTTTTTCCATTGATATTAATTTTTTTTTCCCTCAAATTAATTTCAGGTCGAATATGAGCTTATACCTAAGCAGATATAAGTAAATTAGAAAGCTTTAATGAATATTCACTTGGAATATTTTTAAAAATTAAAAATGTTTTCCTACAAAAGCATTTAAAATGAAAAATACTTAAGTAAAATCCAATTCTTAATATTGACGAATTGAATTGTTAAACATTTGGAAAGAACACCACGCAATTGAGCTTGGCTATCACGTATTCTCAAAGTTATACCAATGAATAATATTCAAAGTAAATACCATTTCATTTTTGTAAAAATATACAAAAAAAAAAACATTTAACAGATCTTGATTAACCCAAATTAAAATTAAAAACATTGATTTCAAGTTTTAAAGAGAACTTTTTTTTTTTATTAAATAGGTTGCCTTTTATTGAGTACATGAAAGTAAATTAGTAATATGCATATTAAATGTGAATTAAAAAATGAGAAAATGAATTTTATTATAAAATTTGAAAAACAGAAGCACAAAATCATCTTTGCACAAAAATGGTTGCATTAATTACATATCTCCGTCATGTTGACTCCTTACATCGTCAATCTTTAAAATCATTTTTACTAATTGTGTTGCCAATACAATTTGTTGTTTCTTGGAATGCAGTGATTCTATAATATGATTTTGTTTCATATCAGAATTCCCAGAAAACATACAATCAACTCCAAGATATGGATTTTTTTCTCCAACTTGGCGTGCCCTTAATTCAGTTAAAGTTTCAATTGGTTGAAGTCCAGAATTTTCAGCTAAAGCTAGTGGAATATTTTCCAAAGCAACGCTGAATGATCTGAAGGCATATTGTTCTAAAGTTGAAAGTTGATCGGCTTCTTTAGCGACAGCTAAAGAACAACTAATTTCAGCAGCACCTCCACCATATACAACACGAGAATCCTTTTGGAGAAATAAGAATGTAATGATAATATGAAACATTTTCTTTTCTTAACCTACCCTTATCAAGGATCTAACAATACACAATGCATCGTGAATAGAACGCTTCGCCTCATGTGTTATCATTAAATTACCTCCTCGAAGTAATATAGTTACTGCCTTTGAATTTTGACATTTTTCAACAACCAGCATATTGTCACGTGATGTACCAAAAGCTAAAATATCAATAAATGGATTTTTTTTTGTATTGCTTTATAATTTTAGATTTTTTTTTATAACTTACATAGTTCGCGAACAAGTCCAGCATGTCCTAGTTTTGCAGCAGAAAGTTCTTCAAATCTAGGAACAATTCTTCCTCCAGTTGCAATAGCTATTAGTTCAATTTCAGGGCCACCAACCCAGCGGACGGCGGGTAATTGATGATTTAAAAGTAAGTGGTTAGCTTCGTCATCGAAACCCCATTGACAAATTACTAAATTTGCTCCAGCATCTTTTACTTGCTTTACCATTTCAGTAAATTTTTCCTGCTCATACTCTCTCAAAGCTTTATAATCTTCAGCGGATGTAACGTCTAACTTATGCTTAGTTTTAGGTTTTGGTGGTTCAAATGGGCATGTTAATATAGCTATTTTAACATCTTCTAATACTTTTGGCATTTGAGAATGACTCATAGTTTTATCTATAACTACACCTTTTACCAAGCATGAATCTTCCATACGACCACCGACTTTAGTTTCAATTTTAATCAATTCGAAATTGACATCTTTTTTTTCGAAATCAGCAACAGTTAAAACAGCGTCAACAGCAATTTCTGCCATTTGACGATGACATTTATTCACAATTTTACTTCCAAGAGTAGTCATTGCAATTTGAATTAACGGTTCTTTATTATTGATATCAACAGGAAACGGTTCAGATATTGAATCCAAATGTTTTACAGCACACTGTGCAGCTAATTCAAATCCGTCAGCTATGCGAATAGGATGAATTCCTCTATCAATCAAAGCTTCAGCTTGTTCTAATAGTGCTCCAGCCAATACAACAACGCCGGTTGTTCCATCGCCTATTTCATCATCCTGAGATTGGCTTAATTGTACCATTAGTTTACCAATTTCGTGATCAACATCCATCAATTTCATTATTGTGGCACCATCGTTAGTTACAGATACTTCCCCATCAGCACTCACCATCATTTTATCCAAACCCTTTGGGCCCAAAGATGTTTTTAATGTTTGAGCAATTTGTTTCGCAGCTAATATATGGCTCTAAAAAAACAAACATTATCCGGCATTGTACATAATGAGTCATTGTTGAGGTTAAAAACAACATTTTAATAAAAACAAGCAAAATTAAAATTAAAAGTTAAAATAAAATTATGACAAACTAATACAAATTAATTTTATCAATTAATAGAAGTATAAGTTTGAATATATTAGAAAACTTCAACGAAAATTCCTTAAAATATTGCTTTCAAATTTCATCTGGAAATTCATTTCAAGTAATCAAAAGAATAGTGTTAAGCGAGAAATTTTAAATATTCGATTAACTTAACTTATACTATTAAAATTTTGAGCTTTCGCAACTTTAAATTTCTAAATAATTTGATAATCAAAAAGGAAAAATTACATTCACGTTATTACATGCAAGACATTTTTGTATTTTTACCTTAATAGCATCTGTCCCTGTAATTCTCTTTTGTTTCTCCTGGTCACGCAAAATAATAAAAGGCCGGCCATATTCATCAAAAGCGATGGTTCCAGGAAATTGTGTCATTATTCTTTATTTTGCAACTTCTTAGGATTACTGGATAAATAAGGATAACAATTTACGACACAGTTCGATTACTTGATTTTAATTTTGCGATGGAGTAAGTAAAAAACTTAATGCACATATGTAATATACATACACTTCGATATGTATATAATTTGGACAATATAATGACATTTGCATTTTGACGTTAACGTCACTGTCATTTAAAAAAATTGAGTATTCGCTTTAAAGAATATTCGAAACCGGAATGAAATGAAATGAAATAATAAAATTGAAGTCACAGGGATGTACTGTGAAAATAGAAAAAAAAATAGTATTTTTAACTATCTACATTCACACTTACTTTCGTGAAACAATTTATTCCCACTGAGTCCAATGTGTTATATCGTAAAAATATTTAAAATAATATTTTTAATTGTTAATTTAATTTTTTTTTATTTGAATCATTTTTATCTCCAAAAATACATATTAGAAAACATAGGCAATTCATTTTATTTAATACATTAAAAAAAACAAAAATTAGTTCAAAATTCATTAAGTTAAATAAAATAACAAAAAAATAAAAAATTAAAAAAGGCCTTCATTTGACAAATTTCAATCATAAATATTTTTTTCCCCAAACCTAGGTTTCTTAAAAAATTTACATTTTTTAAAAATTTAAAATTTTTTGTACATTTATTCTAGCCTGCAATGTACCACAAAAAATCAAAATATAAATTTATTCCAAATATTTTTAAAAATTATTTTTATTTTATTCCCAGTATATTATTTTATAACATGAACTGTATTTTTTGAAACATCTTACCAAATACGTAATTCAATTTTATTTAAACTCGAAATGGAAACTTAAAACATTTCATATCTTGGCAGCCCAATTAGGTTTGACAGATTGCAAAGTCAAATTCTAAAATAACTGTCAAAAAACTAGGAACAAATTTTCGTAGATATTTGTTTATTTCTACTTTTGTAGTTTAAGATTTGACTGAAAGGTCTGCCGGTGAATTGGATTTTCTACTTGTATTACATACATATATTGTGGAAATAAACTTATTTGCGTCTTTTTATTTTTTTTTTTTCAGAAAAACGAATGTTTTACCATAGTTTCTTTATAAATTGAATATTTTTAAAATTAAAAAAAAAATGGTACTAGTACGTAAAATTGAAGAGCCTGAAGAAGGTTTAGTTTACAAATCGGATAATATTAAAATTAAAATAGGTGAAAAACTCATCGGAAATGGAGTACTATATTTAACCGAAGATTGTCTTATGTGGAAACCGGATGATTCTCTTGAGGGTATATCTATGCTTTGGAAACAAATTAGCTTACATGGAATTTCCAATAATCCATCAAAATGTATATACCTAATGTTAGATCATCAACTTGTATGGGAAGGTGTATATGACCCAAGTGCAGCCAATGGAAATGCAAATGGTAATGCAATGGAACAAGAAGAAGATGACGACAGTGAAAATGATGAAGGAAATGAGTCTGGTTGTCAGGATGACATGACTGAAATGTGGCTTATACCAAACGATATTACTGCAGTTGATCAAATATTCCAATCTATGAAAGAATGTCAAACATTGCATCCTGATTCTGCTGATAGTATATCTGATGAGAGTGATTTTATGGATGCAGTCGAAGAGCAAAATGAAGATGAATTTGATGATGATAATCATGGTGAGAATGTTAATGATATGAGAAATTTAAACATAAATCAAGATCATTTTGAAGATGCTTAAAGAGTTAATGAAAAACAAGAGTGCTAAAAGAATCTATTACGCTAATTAACGGCTTCAAAGTTTTATTGTTTATGCAATATTTTACAATTAGTGTTCAATGTTTATATGTAGAATGTAGATTGAAATACTCCATCATACTTTTTATATGCATTACATATGTAAAATCTTGAAAAATTAATTTTTTATTCTGTTCATATTTCTTAATAGGTCTTATATCAAAAATTGTTAAAATATAAATATCTCTAGCACAGGGGTTTAAGTATTCGAGTTGTTTTCTGCATTTAAAATACTATTTGATTTTTTTTAACTTTAACGTAAGAATGAGTTTGCAATTGGAAATAAAAACAACTTTATTATATGTAATGTCGGTTTTTATTTATTTTCCTTATAGCATAAAAATATACAAATTACTTCCTATTTCAAAGGAATCCATTAAAAAGTAAGAAGTATGAGTATAATATCCAAAAATAAAATAGCTTTGAACTTTAGAAGTCTTTAGTAAATATGAAAACATTTTATTTTTAACGCAAAAGGAAAAAAATAATAAAATTTAAATGAAAGAAAAAATACATTAATAACTCTAAAAGTTCGAATTGCCTAAATATTACAGTTACGATTCTTTAGGCTTCATCTCTTATTTTTTTTTTAATAAATGAATTCGGTAACATCATTGGATAAAACTTCCATGAAGGAAAAATACCAGGTACTTAATAAATATCAGAATTACAGAAAAAAAATAAGATACACCCAAATTTCAGACATTGCAAATTTACTTATTTCGCCAAATAATTCAAATTAAAATTTTCCTCTAATTTCACTGGGCATGTCATTGGTAATTGACAGACTTTATTGTGACAAATATAAACAGTTGTTGTGTTTTTAATCATTTTGAATTTTTCCCGAGAATTTTGTCTAATAAAAGATTCTTTTTCTGGGTCAAAGTGAACCATTATTAAACCTGGAACATAGTATTTTCGTAAAATGTTTATGAAACGTTCTGTAACCTCAGAAGATGGACCAACTACGGCAGAGAGATTAAACCCTTGATCAAGTAACAGCAGTGCCGACATCATTTCTGGTAAAACATAACCAAATGGATTAACGTCACTGAAGAAATTTAGTAATTTTTTAGCTTGATCTTTATATTTTGGTTCATCATAATAAACAGAAAGTAAAAGGAGATTACGTGCAGCTATACTATTGCCACAAGGTTCAGCACCATCGTGATCTAAAAATGTTAATTTTTATGCATTATGAATTCTATTTGAAATAAAATATAAATTTCTCTTTTCACCTTCCTTAAGTCTTACGATAACGTTTGGAGAATTTTCTTGAGAATAATAATAGCCACCATTCACAGTGTCCCAGAACAAACTGTCTTGTATGTCTTGCAATTCTTTTGCCCACAGTAGAGCATTAGGATCCATAGAAGCTTGGAAATAATCTAGGAGACCTCGTATTAAAAACGCATAATCATCTAAAAATCCTGCAATTGGTTCTGATCTAGAAAACAAAATATCAAAAATAAAAAAAATATTACAAAATACGATAAACAAATATAAATACATACAGAATTTCTGTAGAATTGTCACCAACTCCCTTTCCATAACATGATCTTAGCAAAATTTGTTTCTCTTTGTCGAACGAAAAATTCCTTATGAAATCAACTAGTTTTTCAGCTGCACTCAAATATTCTGATCTTTTTCCACTGAAACAATTTGCTAATTTGGAAAGCCCAGATAAAACCAATCCGTTCCAAGAAGTAATAATTTTAGTATCCAAATGTGGACGTGGTCTTTTGTCACGAATTTTATGTAGTATATCATTTGCAACAGAAAGTGTGTGTTTCAATTTAGGAATTTCAATATTAAATTTTTTAGCAGTATCATTAATTGAATTTCTTACAATCAAAATATTTTTTGCAGTCAAATGGCCATGAGGATCGCTTGCGGGCTCTACATTTCCTGTTTCATTAATATCATAATGATAACAATAAATTTCGAACGCTTTTTTTGCGTCAATTTCAAATTTGCCCGCATTATTTTCTATAGCTTCACGAACTTCATCCCATGTCCATGCATAAAACGCTCCTTCTACTTTGAGTTTGTCGTCTGCTGTTGGTAAAGAATCTGCATCTTCACCAGAATAAAAAGCTCCATAAGGATGGTACAAATCCTTCATTAAATATTCAAATATATTGTGCGCTGTCTCTAAATAAAAGTCGTTACGTGTTATTTTATATGCATTCGCATAAGCTGACATTAACTGGCCTTGATCATACAACATTTTTTCAAAGTGTGGAACATGCCATTTTCTATCTACAGAATATCTTGCAAAACCACCAAAAACATGATCATGTATGCCACCATTTGCAATTTTTTCCAAAGTATTTAGTGCAATTTGTAATATTTCAGGATCTTTTTTAATTGTATATGCATGAAAAAGTAAATTCAGACGAGAAACCTCAGGAAATTTTGGATGATTACCCAAACCACCATACTCTTCATCATAATTTCTTTTATAAATTCTTATGGCCAAGTCTAGTTTAGCTTCGGCAGACTCAGGATCAAGCGCTTCTGCCGGCTTTTCGGTTAAGTTCTTTTCTATAACTTTAATTATTTTTGACCCAGTTTCTTTAAGTTCAGTTTGATTTTTTTTCCATTTTTCCGCAATAGTTCTTAAGACAGTTGAAAACCCTGGCATACCCCATCTGTCTTTTGGAGGAAAATAAGTTCCAGCAGATATTGGAGCAAGGTCTGGTGTTAACCATACTGACATTGGCCAACCCCCACTACCATTGATCATAAGGACAAAATTCATATAAATTTTATCAATATCAGGCCTTTCTTCACGGTCAACTTTTATATTAATAAAATTGTCATTCATTATTTTCGCCACTTCTTCATTTTCAAAAGACTCATGTTCCATCACATGGCACCAATGACAAGTCGAATAACCAACAGAAAGAAATATCAATTTATTTTCATCACGAGCCTTTTGTATTGCTTCATCACCCCATGGATACCAGTCAACTGGATTATGAGCGTGTTGCAAAAGGTATGGAGATTTTTCTTGTGCCAAGCGATTAGTAAATTTTGGTTCACCTGAAGATGTTCCTGCCGATGACGCTGAACTTGTAGCCATTCCAGATCTTGATAGAAAAGTTAAATGTGGACAATAATTTCTAAAAAAAAAACAAAGAAGTTAAAAATAAAAAAGAATATTTTAGGTTTTTTACAAATTCTAGTAAGCATGTAAGAGATGTATACATGTGTGAATAACTTGAGACAAAAAATTTTTTATATTGGCGATTTCTTTTTTACATTTAATTTGTATGTACGTGGTTAATTTAATAATTTTGATTTTATTAAACCAATTATTACAATTATCTAGTCTATTATTATTTTATTTGAAATTATATAACACAAACATAAAAAGCATTTACATAGTAGGCTATCTGCAAAATTGTTTTATTGTTTTAGTAACCGATAATTCGTAAGGCATTGGATAAAGTCATATACCCTGATGCTGATATAGACAACCGTTCAAATAAAAAGCAATCTAATCGACGGAAAGTAAACAGCGTTTCGGAGATATACATACATATATCACTTGGAGAAAAATCCATATTTGTAGTTGATTATATAACAAGAAACGTAACACTTGCACTATATCTCAAATTAAGTTCTATGCATATATATATATGCAAAAGAAACGGGTGTATTGATCTGAAAATCGGAAATATTTATAGGTACCAGAAAATTGTATAGCTTGAATATATAGCATAATCTAAATAACTAAAAGATATTATTATTGAATATTAACATAATATAACAAATATACGCATATAATGCATGCAGGTATATATGTAGGAGTATAATATTATGTTATAATAAATGTAAAGCGGAGTAACTTACGTATTGGAGTTTACTTGAATATTTCTTTCGTTACTTCTTCCAAATAATCGAGAATTTCTACTTAGAAGAAAGCTGCTTGCACGGGAAATGGTTTTGAACATATCAAAAATAAGTTCGTTATAAAATAAATAATTTATTTTTCATTTGGTATGAGAAAAAAAATTATAACTTTTTTGCGAGAGCAACACTATTAAAAACTTGAATCAAATTTGAAAGTGAAAGTAAATATTTATGTAAAATATTTTTTGACATTTCTCAACAGCTGATCAACGAAGAACTGGAACATATTGAAATGAAACAAATTTTTCAAATTTGTCTGAAAAGAGCTCCTGGAAACACTACATGTATTCAGGTCATTTAAATTTCGCTTTATTCTTTGATTTTAGTATAGAAATAGAAGGATTCATATCCCATTCCATGCTGGATTGATAACTTGTGTAAAGTAATGTTTTAAAACGGACTTAAACGTTGCAACACAAGTCATAAGATAAGCGAGGAAACAGAATTTTTTTAATAAAAAGAAAAGGAGTTTATGTAGTACACGTAGCACGGGTAAATTTAATCGTAGTCGAATATACGAAATTAAATAAAACAAATTTAAAACAATACTTAAAAAATTCAATAATCACGCATTTAAATGTTTAATACACTTGCTTTATTTTTACATAAATACGCCAGCTAGGTATGTAAGCATTTTTTATCTATGCATTATGTAGGTTACTTATAAAGTTTTTGCTTACATAAATATGTGTTAATTTATGCAGTAAAACACAAATGTTAAATTTAATAAAATTTATTTACAGTAAAAACGGTAAAAAGGATACATTTATTCCAAAAATGAGTGATAAAAAATGGGAACCTATTTCGATCGAAGAAACTATGTGCAGAATATATCCTGATCAGTTTCATATTCTTGAAAATTATGGTCGATCTGACGATATCGATGAGCAATATTTGAAAAATATAAATATTGTAAATGAACCTAGTGCCTCAAAAAATATTTTGCCAGTTAAACAATTTTCGATTAAAATTGTGCCCACCGAAAATATTTTAAGTGATGATGAAGATGATGATGATATTAGACACATTAAAGAAATGGAATTAAATGAACGTGAACAGATCAATTCAATGAGGAATGTTGGTTTGGCACCAGATATTAATAGCTATGTAAATAGTAATAAAACATTCCCCTGTATCATAAATGGGGGAACAAGAAAGCAAAAGAAAGGTCCACCAATTATTTTAGATGATGATTTTTTCAATGTTTCCAAAATAAAAGAAACTAACAAAAGTAATTTAAATTCCGAAAGTGTACAAAATAACTTGAATATATCTTCAGAATCAAATGCCACTTCCATGACAACATTAACGAATGATATATCTAATGTATCTTTAAGCAGTACCGAAAGTTCATTTGAAAGTGTTCCATTAAAAAATAAACCAAAAAGTATTTATGATATTTTAAAAATTGCAAGAGTACCACCGCCAAAGGAAGAGGATAAGAACGAAGCATATAATAAAGAATATCCAGCCTTAAATGCAACGAAAAAAAAAGTAAAAAAAAGATCTTCAAAATGAAATTCCATTTAATTTGGCTGTTCAAAAGTAGGTGAATATATACAAATTATAAAAATTTTAATTTAACGTTTTATATTTTGTATTTATAAAGAAAATTATGAAAATTTTAAAAACCAGCCACTGGTGGAAGAACTAGAATTTTTACATTTTGTTTTAAAATCTAAAAAAAAAACCAGAAATAATTAATAAGAAAAATTCCCTTTTTTTGAGGGTTTTTTAATAAGTGGGCCAATACTTTGAATTTTACTACCTACTCTATCCATTCTTTTATTTTTTAAAATTTCGATCATACTGTTAAAACTAAAAGTAATAACCGCAATAGAATATTTTAATAGACTTTTCCGCAACGTTGGAACTTTAAATATGCTGCAATTATGGAATTATTTTACACATGCAATTATGGAACAAAGATGCAATATTAATCGAAACTAAATTTTCAAGAATCTCCTATTTAAAGGAATAGTTTGAAAATATTGTGGCAAACTAATTGTATAAAAAATTTTATTTTTTTTTAAATTGCTAAAAACAGAAAGAAACAATGTTCGTGGAACTTATTATCCTATCATTCAATCAAAATATTTTTATTTAGATAATAAATACATATTACAATAATTTCGATTTTGAAAAAATAATAATTACATTTTTGATTTATAATTAAAAACAGAAAAATATGCAACTTAAATACATATAATTATGGGAAAATTAGCAATTTTTATAATATAAAGCCGAATTACTTATTTAAAATAAAATCTATTATATATTAGAAAATTTTTTAAATATATATTTTTCAATATTTCTAAAAGTTTTATTTGTATTTTCAATTTAAATTTTCATTTAGACAATTGTAATAAAGTAACTAATGAATCTTATTTTCTATTTACAAACTAAAGCGTTTAAATTGATAATTTATTCATTTTGCATTAAATTCTTCATTCGTCGAGAAAGAGTTGCTTTAGAGACATTAAATCTTATAGCAGCTTTATTTTGTACCATACCTCTTTTACAAGCTTCAATTGCTTTTTCTAGACTTTTCTTTTTTCTACTATCATTTCTTAAAGTTTGTCGTGTTGACATGAAATTTTCCGGAAGTAAACCTGCTGTTAATAAACGTTTTTTATACCAATGCAATGTTGATAATGGCACCCTCAAAATTTTACTGATGTTTATAAGCTTTTCACCGTTTTTTAAACGATCACATAATTCAGACAATATTTCTTTTGTGTTTCTTTTACCAAATAATTTTTCACTTTTTATTTTATATTCCGGATCATTTTTTACTTTTCGCCACAAAAGTGTTTTTGGTATATTAAAATTTTTTGAGGCGCTTGTTATGCTTACACCATTTTCAAGAATTTGTTTTACAGCTTCTTCAACTAAAATTTTACGTTGTTCCATTATGTTGTTTTCTTCATTTCCTTCAAAATTACAGGTTTGTTCAGAATTTCTCGTAATTTCATCTATTTCGATTTCATCTACCGAAAAACATTTTGGATTTTTTAAAGTATAATCATAACAATCAACAGAGTCATTATGATTATTTTCTTCTAAAGAATCACATTCCAAATTATAAACTGATGAATTTCTAGAGTTTTCACTTTGAACTTCACAAAGTTTCTAAAAAAAAATAAGAAAATCTTTAATTTGTTTGCTTATTTTTGTGAAGATAATTACGTAGTTCATGATTTGGCTATCACGCGGAAAGAGATTTTCCGTTGGTTGAATTTGACACGCATCTTTGTATTCTACTTTTCGTTTTCTATAATTCTCCTTTAGGTATTTTTTTTTAATCGGTTTTTTGTCATGAATGTCCTTGTGTAAATCTTTATGTAAATCTGATGGTTCAAAAATTGAAGTTTCATTATGCTTTTCATCTCCAATAATACACTTGTGAGAGATCTCATCGTTTATGCCAAAAAATATTTTTGTTTCAATAAAACTTGCAATTTCTTCAAGATTTAATTGAACTTCGCCTGTATACAAATAATGCAATATCTTTTGCATAATATTTTTACTTATATCTGGAAGGATTAGTGTTTTTAATGTCTCTGACGTTTCGGGAATATATTTTAAAAATTTTTTGAAAAATTCACTATTCATAGCTAAAATTGCTTGATGTGCAAAAAGAAAATCACCATCGCTAAAGCAAAACTTAATATCTGGAAATACGTGCTGCTCAAAGATATCCTTTAAAATGTTGTTATGCCGGTAGAATACCATTTCAAAATTTTCAAAAACCATTTTTTTTCTCGTGATATAGGATTTCTATAGAATTTTTTTCCAAATTTTATTTTCAAAACATTATTATTTTAACAATAATATTTCCCTAATATTTATGAAACGCTTTATTATCTATTTAAATCACGGCTGACAGCGTGAAAGATTTGAAAAAACCGTGAAACATTTTTGCCCCTTTAGCAATTTGTTGACATTTTGCGCAGAATTGTTATTAATCCAAATGTTATCTAAAAAAATATTTTACGGTAAAAAATATACCATATACTTTTACTTCAAATGACATATATTAATGTGAGATTAGACGTTTCAAACATCTAACCATTAACGAATTTCAACATGTGGTTAAATTCATATTTGCAAGTGTAACCTGTCAGCATTTGCGCTGTTGTTTCGTAGATTTTAGTCTCGACATTTCTTGCAAATAGACGTTTTTTTGGCAGAATTATTTTGTTTATTGCAGTTTAATTCCAAGTATATATATAACACCTGATTTAATGAGGGCTAAAAGCATGAACCCAATTCAATTTAGATAATAATAATAAAAATAGAAATGATCGCAACGCATGCTAGTAGGGATCTAAATGGAAGCGGTACGCAGCATTCGGTTGTCAAAAGTAAATTGGTTGCAAGTACTTAAAAGTGCACCGCCACGATTCCCGCATGACACTCAATATTTCAATTTCAAACGTGCTTTGCTTAGACTTGTAAATGATTATTATTGTTTTTGACGTTTTACGTCAATCATATTTTTTGGCATTCGCATCGCGTGGTATATTTAGATTTGCGACGTTGACAACGCAATAAATTATGACTACTGTATACCAGCTCTAATTAGTCGACCTCTTTAATATTCTTGCCAAAAATAAAATACGAATCAAATTTTTTTTCAAAACAGCTGTTATATATCACAAGAAGCAACGTTTTTGACATATTATACTAAAACAATATTTTACACATTTCAATTCCACACATTCTTATTAAGAAAACAAAATAAATGCAAGCAAAATGTTTTAGACCACTACCAATTGTCAAAAAATTTCGAAGCGTCCTTTTTTTCCAAATCATTCTGTTTTAGTATTTGGTAAATAGTGAAACAAAATAATAAATAACTGAAACAATAAAATATATAACACTTTTTTTGTATATAAACAAATATAAAAATATTTAGAATGGAAAATAATTTAAAATGGATGGGGCATACTGCAACAATATTTGAGATGCAAAGAAAGATCTTAAAAGAAGGAGCATATTATGATGTCAAACTCGTTTTTCATAATGGCGAATACTTATTTGCTCACAAAGTTATTTTATCTTCTTATAGTGATTTCTTTAAGGAATGTTTGAAAAATATACCTGAAACACTAGATCAGGAGACCGTTATTATTATACCGGATATTAAAAGATCCATTATGCAAAAAATTTTAGATTTTGTTTATATTGGCGAAGTTACGCTAAATTCATCTGATTTAACAGAATTTTTAGAAAGTAATACGTTCTTGGGTATTAAAAATTCTATAAGTTTTGAATGTGCTTTCCAAAACAATCCTACTACGCATGCAAGTGAAACTCGTATTGAAGAAGTAATAGAAATTTCCCAGTCAATTGAAAATCAAAATATGGAAACCGAACAAATAAACAGTGAATCGGAAGAGCAACAAAAAGAACACCAAAATAGCTCAAAAGAAATGCACGAACAATGTAAAAATAATTCATCAGTACATATGAAAGTTAACATTGAAGTAAGTTACAATATTCACAATTTGTACAAATAAAAAAGAATTATTATTTTAACATATTTTTCTAGAGTGAAATTGATCCCAGCCCCCAAAATCAGTTTTCGACGATTGAAGAATTTGAACAAGTTGCTGAAAGTACTGAAGCCGAAGGCGAATATATAATATCCGATAATGTTGAAAATTACACTAAATCGTATACTTTGAAAGAGGAAAAATTGTCTTCTGGCCTTATAAAAATTGAAGTGTCATCAATTCCAGTTGTTACGGCAGTCAACGAAAATCCTTCTGATGAAACAACAATTTATAAAATAACAGAAGATGAGAATGTTGAAGCTGAAGGAACCTCTTCTGTTTCTCAAGCTGAATATAAGATATATAATATTGAAACAGAAACTAATAGTCCAAACACATCTAAAACACAATACATTGGGCACAAAGTTTATACAGAACGCGAACATAATATTACCATGGCAATTAAAGATGTATTAGAAGAAAGTTTAAGCTTATCAAAGGCAGCCAGTAAATATAATATTTCAAAAACGGTATTGTGGCGAAGAATTAAAAATGATCCCATGTACAAGCATAGCCGACATAACCCAATGTTATCACTGGCGCGCGAAAGATTGGAAAAGGGGGAAACTTTGAAAAGTATTAGTCAATCGTTGAAAATACCAATGTCAACCTTACATAGACATAAGGTACGTTTGTTAGAACAAGGATTTTTGCCAGATACCGTAACTCAAGTTAAAAGACGATTAGAAGAAGATAAAATAAATTTAAAGTACAAATTAGAGCAAGCAATAAAAGCATGCCAAATGGGAATGTCACAAAATAAGGCTGCACAAGATTTTGGAATATCTAAATCAACTTTGTGGAGACATTTTAAACGTATAGAAGCATCACAATTATTAAGTGATCAACCTAATGATATAAAAAAGTATGATGCATTAGAATATAGTACAATTGAATATACAATAACAGATCAAGACGTTGACCAAGAAATTGTTGAAGAAGAGCAAGAATATTCCATATCAGAATTTGAAGATGACGAAAATAAATTTCGATCAATAATGTCGTAAAGAAATTTTAGTTCGGCTATAAAAACTTTTTTCTCATTTCTTTTTATTTTTCACGCAAGTATACAAATGTACGTACATATGTGATCAGGCTAATTAAGCTGATATCGGACTAATTTAACAATATTGTAAATTTAAGTTAAACTTCATTTTAAGAAAATTATTTTCAATTTAATCCACACATTTTTAAATTTTTTACTGCTACAATAATTTATCAAATTTCTTAAAACTTAAAAAATTTTAAGAAAATCAATAGGTAGAGTTATGTAGCAATTAAATACATATTGCTATTGTACTTAATCTGCAACCATTTCATACTGATGTTTCAATTTGTACATACATATATCTAACTTTTGTAAACCTACTAAAAATATAGTGAAAAATAATTAAGAAATTTTTTTCGAGCTTCATCATATTTAATAATTTGAAGGTTCAACTGAATTCCAGGCATTCATGCTGAACTAGATTTAATAAAATTAATTTATTAATAGAATTTCATCAAAATTTTAAACATTTTAGTTTAAGACTTACTACGTACATTATGTATATGTATATTATAATTCATACGAATTTCCTAATAATAAATTTATAATGACATTTTACAATATCATTTCTTTAAAATAATTATTTGAAATCTATAACGAGTTTTTTTATACAATTAAATTTTAATGAAAATAATTTTAGAAATATTTTGTAATTAATAAAATTAATATTGTACGAATGAAAAACTATTGACAATGTAAATAAATAATTTTATTATGTTATGATAATGAATTGTTTTGTAAAATAATGATTGTTATTTTAACAAAAATTTATTAAAAACATTAATATAAGTATGTAGATGTTAAACATTTATTATAATAATTGTATTTTTTAATAAAATTTTTAAAATAAATTTATTAACAAGTTTCCTTATTACAATCGACAAAATTACTTAATTCCGTGGAATTTGGTGGTCCTTCACTATAAAGATATGTAACAGGCCATAAACGAGCTGCTGTAAAATCAGTTAAACTTTGTAAGCCCCCAGGTCTCGGTGGGCGTTGTTGTGAATGTTCACTTGAATGTGTACTTTCTGTTGGTAAATAAGCAGTTGGTTTTTTGGTTTTATCTTTTGATGGTGGAATTGTTATTCCAGCATGTGTATGATTACCTGGAAAATAACGATCACTACATTTTCGCCATTGATCTGGTTCATCACCTACAAAACACCTGTAGAAAAAAAAAAGAAACATTACTTCTTTAATTTAAATTTCCTGTTTTCATCTTCTGTTTTTTTTTTATTTTTTTTTTATATTTACCACGGATAATCAAATCCTTGCGAATATCCACAAGGATATTCAGCTTTACAACAGTAATCCCAAGAACCAATTTCACCGCCATCTATTTCACATGAATAAAAACCAGTGACAAGATTTTTATCACATCCGCTACCAATTCGACACGGTTTTCCAGAAACTGTATAATGCCTCCAAGTAACATCACCTTTTGTAATATTTTTGTAAATTTTTTTTTTTTACAAAATTGATAAAGAATTTTTTTTTAGTTTATTCTCTGAATTCTTTGTCTAATATTTTTTATTACAAATTTTATTGTTTTGTTACTTTTGCTTTTATTGTATTTCACTACATAGAAATATTAAATGTACTGCATATTTTATTAAAATGTTTGTTGGGAAAAAGAAATGTGCTTTTAAATATTAAAAAGTAAGTATTGATCACATTTTCCTATTATATGAAAGTAAGGAAACAATTTGTTTTTCGGAGTCTAAATACATAGAAACTATTGAAAATGTGAATTTTAATAGAATAATTTAAAAAAATTAATTTACAGAAAATTAAAGAAGCGAAAAAAATATTGTATGTACATCTATTTGCGTGCAAATATGAGCGATTCTAGTTTTTTAATTTATGTAAATGTTCTCCCGGATTTTTATTAGTTCTAAGATCTATGATCGAAACAATGCAAAACATTTTTTGAATAAGCTTACTAATTATATAGGGGATTTTGTTAATTAATGAAGAATATTAAATTTTAGATTAGGAAATTTCAGGGCTTCTTAGTAAAATGCTAAAATTAATTATACATTCTTATAAATTACTTATATTTAAATTAATATTCAACATAAACTACATCATACTTATATTATTACATAAATAAGTCGAATTGTACTACACTTACGTTAAGTACATAATTTGAATTAAATAATTAATTTTCTTCAATATTTTTGTTGAAAAAAAAGAAACATATTTACAAACATCATAAGCAAATGTACAAATTTAAATATCAAATTGAAATTTTGTACATACAAAAATATAAACTTTTTACAGATGAAGGGGGAAAGGAAAATAAGCTTAACACATCGAAAATGATAGGGTTCCCGAATTAATGCAATATACACCTATTATAGGATGAATTTACAAGATAAGAAAGACAAAAAATAGTTCTAACATTTCGGTTAGTATTAAAAAATTACAAAAATAAAGTAAAAGGAAGGAAATAATTGCACATATTTTGTTTCTCACTACGTATACATACGAAACAGGATAATACAAAAATTTGTAAAATTACATTAATTATTTTGATTATTTTTGAAACTTAAAACGAAAAAATAATAATATTTAAGTGTTATTTACATACACAATTATTGTTATTATTTTCAATGCTTTTTTTTTCCATTTGGTTAATATCAAATTTAAGTTATTTAATTTTATATTAATGTTAAAGGCTCCTCAACCAAGCCAAGCTTACATTATATTTCAAAAATTTAAAATAATATTATGCATTCTAATATTAATAATTAATTAGTTAAAATTATTAAAAAATATTATTTTTTAATTACACATATAATAAACTATATATTTTTCAATTTTTGTACAAAAAAAAAATACATGTTAAACACACAAATTTTATACATTGTAAAAATACAAAAAAAAATAAATCCAAAACTAATAACGCATCAAATGTTTTAGTTAAAAGCTTTAATTAAAGGTTTTTCTTATGTCTTATAATACATTTTTCTTTATTATTTTATAATTTATTTATTCATTACTAATATAAATACTACGTGCAGCATATGAGAATTTGCATTTTACCAGGCTCACGGAATATATCCATTCTACGATCATTATTCACACGATTTCCTCCAATAGTTGCAACTTTATCTCGACATGTCCAATCGAAAGGATTCCAGGCAAATAACCAATAATCTCGGTCTGGGGTATGTGCATAATGTATATTTAATTTTAGTTCACTTTGATCTAAATCTGACATTTCACAATTGTATGATGAGGCATGAGCTCTAAAAATCAAAAAATATATTGTATGTATTTATGTATGTATATGTAAGAGCAAACAATTGAACTATGTAATAGATATTTTAACAAATTCAATATTATTTTATACCCGTAACTAAAAGAATAGCATTTAAAAGAAGTTTTCTCCCTATATCGAATACACTCTCGTTTACATTCCAATTCAGTTGGCACCGAAATAACTTTTTTTATTGCTGGTGATAATAGTTTTGCTGCTGATCCATAGCCCAGATAACACACTAAATTAGTGAAATACAAAATAAAAGAAAAATAAATATTCAAGTCTAAATAAAAAAAAATTAAATGAAATTTTTCAATTTTCACATTTTTTATGTTTGTCATCAACTATTGGTTGAATTTCACAGCCATGGCCATAACTGGCTCTTTCAAAAACATCAAATGATGGATCTAGTTTTAAATGTCTTGTTTTATCCATATCTCTAACAGGCCAATCTGATAGCTGGCAATTATCTATAATTGAATCACGTTCTTTTTGGCCATATCGAAAAGCAAATGCACGGCAAGTAAACTTCGATGATTTAATACATTCTAATTCACATTCTCCTATTGAACGGACAGTCAAGGAATCTCTTACAATTGTTTTGAAAAATCTTGTCGCATCTATTGCTCGGAAGAAACATTCTACAGGGAAAATTAAGAATAAAAATAGCGATACATAATAATTTAAATATTCATTTAATTACGATTATTTCTAGGATCTGACAAAGCTGTACTAGGTGGTGGCAAGGGCCCATGAGATTGTGTTGGCGGTGGAGATGGTGGTGCTCTGCATGACTTATGTTCATCTGACATCGAATATATATCGTAGTCTCGATCTGGTTCCAAATCTACATAATAATCAAGAAGATTTACTGGACGATCACATAATAAACAATTGTCACGTCCAACTGATGAATACCTTGAAAATAGTTATTTTTTTTTTACTTGAATAGAAGTTAAAATTTTTTCGAAAATATTCAATTTTACCTAAAACTGTATGTATGGCAGTTAAATTTATCTTCTGAAAAGCATAATTTTTCACATTCTGTTACACTTGGCACATGATATGCATGCCGAATAGCACCTTTATGCAATCTAAAACCTTCGCAAGTTTTCACAGAACATTCTGATAATCAGAAATTTTGAAAAGTATTATTCAAACAAATTTAAATAGAATTAAAAAATTGCTATTACCATCAATTCCGGCTCTTCTAGTCCATTGGCTACCATAATCATAATCTGTTTTTATCTTATCTTGGTATTTTGATCCTGGATAAGTATAAATTGAATTATCAGTAACATGTAATGGACGTCGTCCACCTAATTCAAAATAGTTAAAATCCGGACCATCTTTTCGTCTATTGTCATTTGCAACTCCCCAATAATCTGCATTTTTATTAGGAGTCGAGCCACCATAACCATAACCTGTATTGTCATACTCTTTTTCAACACCTATTAGGTATGGTATAAATTTAGGAGGTTTTTTGTTGTAATCTAAATGTCTATCACGTTCCAAATATCCATGTGATGATGGTGGGGGGGATGGAATATAATGAGCGTCAGGTCTTGATAGAGGCGGTGCATGTGGTGGATTTCTGTAAGGTGAATAATCCGGTCCAGGTCTATAGGGTGGCCTAAAATTGTCAGGACGATCAGCATCAGGTCTTGAAGAAAAATCACCTCCATAAGATGACCCTCCATGGCTAGATGGAATGGTTTCCCAATGCGATGGCCTATAAGCTTCATCGCTAGGTCTTATTTCATCATATCTATCAACTCGATCTCCGCCATATCCTGATGAGCTTGATGGACGATAATAACCACCACTACCACTACTCTCATGATATCCATGCGTTTGAAAGTCATATCTATGATATTCATCCGGTCTACTTTCATATTGAATTGGTCTATATCTGTCAACAGCAGTAGTTGGTGGTCGATTATAATGATCTGGAGGGGGTAAAGGTGGACCACCATATCCACTACTCGACGGTGGAAAACGATCATCATGATGATAGCTTGGTGGTCTATCATGTGAACCTGGTCTAAAGTAAATTGCTTGACTACTTATCGGTTTTCCACTCCCACAATCTTTACAAGCTGTACGGCAGCTAGATGGTGCATTGCGATCTCTTTCATAATAATCATAATCAGGATGACGCAATAAATTTGCATCACGATGTTGCGCACTCGAATATAAATCCATTTGTGCTAATGGTACTTCAATTAATTCACAATCACCTTGACCATGACCGGATGGATCTAATCTATAATTGAATCCTTCACATTGAAATCGTTTTTCATGGCCACATTCCTGCATACAATCTTCAACACGTTCACATGCAATTGTGCGACGAACCCAATGTGGTGCAACACGTTTTCCAGCCAAAACTCTACGAAAGCATGCTATAGTTGATAACAATGGAAAAATAAATAAAAACAAAACTAAAGTGAAAATTTTAATTTTAAAAAATTTAATTAAGAAAAATAATTGGTGTTTCTTGTATTTGTTCTTTTGTTTTTCTGTCCAATTATGTCTTATTTCTGAAAATTGTATTAAAAAAATATGAAAATAAAACAATTGAAAATTTTAAATACGGAACAGAATATTTTCTCGTGGTAATGAAAATAATGTTTCATTTCATAATTTTGGTAAGTTTTTAAAGGGCCATCTTCATCAGACTTAAAATAAAACAATATTTTAAGAATATTAAAAAGCGAACAGATAAAGTCGTTAACGTAGAGGTTGGTAAAAGAATAAATAAAACAATGATTTTTTCTCTACTCTTTCAATTTAATTAAATTATTTCAAAGCTATAAAAACTATGAATTTAATATTATTAATGTACTACACATATACTTAAACCTATTTAAATGAAGAATTAAATAAGCTTGAAGGTTAGCAATTAAAGTTGTTGAGTATATGTACCTTAATTTTCTTGAACTATAAATACGCCTTACTTACCATAACTAACCGTTCATATAATTGCAAAGTACAATCATAGAATATTACGACAACGAGAGAATAAAATTTATATACAATTAATTAAAAGGTGATAGCCGAATAAAAATCCAAAATCTAATATAACAAAAGAATTCTAAAGTTACAGGAAACACTGCACTGCTTACAGAATTTTTAGTCCACTTTTACTTGGGAACTAAAAAAAAACTTATTTTTATTGTATTAAAGAATAGCTCAACTAAGTGAATTTTAGATTAAAATATGAAACAAATCTTATGAATATGTAATCTTTGCCTTATTTGTTTTTAGAACGAATAATACTATTCCTAAAGTGTACTTTGCAGAGCAACTCGTCCTATAATCAAAAATAACGAATTTATCTTACATGCCTTGGCAAGATCTTAGTAACAATACCATATTTCAATTTATGATCTTAAAAAATAATAACCCGTTTTTTGAATGCTTCTACCTACCCATTGAAATATCTTCAAAATAAAAATTAATCTTGATTATAACAATTAAAATCGAATCTAAAATTCAATCCATGACAACTCGTAAGTGATGCTAAATGAAAGCGTAAACAAACGAGAACTAACTCGCTTTTGCTCATGCTGTACGTACTCAAATTCAATTGGCGAAAAGAATACACTTTAATTAAATACTATTAAGTAAAGATTTTCGATAAATTTTAAGACAAAAATCAAAAGTTCAATAATTTTTAAAAGAAAATTTCTTTGTTAAACTTATTGGTTTTTTAATATTTTAAATCATAGATTTTAAAAAGCATTAATCATTCTTTGAAGAAGAACTTGCTTTTTATCTTGAGCAGGCGTACATATGATATGTGCATCATACATTTAAGAAATTCTCTTTGTCATCGTAACAATGACACTTCCTTTATACATAAAATTAATATTGTTTTTTTTTTTAATAGTTTACATCAACTTGAAGCTTAACATTATTATACAAAGAAGTTTATAATCAGCTATAGGTACATCACAACCATGAAATCTCGAACCATGAAATATGCATATTATATGCCTTTAGAACAAAAAGTAAATTAAGGAAGTGGTAAGAAAAATTTTCATTTGAAATTTTTTCTTTTTTTTTTGGCTGCAAATTTATTATTATTAATTTCCCTCTGTAATTAAACGTAAAACAATAGTTTATAAAATTTACTCATCGTTATTTTAATTTATTTTAATTTGTAATCTTGTGAATAATAGTCTTACTAAAATGTAAAGCTAATGTCATCTGGACAGCAATCAACAAAGTAATTTTAATTGATTAATAAATAATAATAATAGTACGTTTGTAGTTCATTTGATAAGTAAGTGTTACAAGTACTGCCAAAAACGTATTTTTTTAAAATGACTACTGATCAAAACTTGAAATTCTTAAAAAATATATTGTAATTAATAATTAATTAATTATTACAATTTAAGGTCATCCAGTGCATTTTTTGATTGCCATTATTTAAAAGAAATTACACACAGAGTAATCTGTTTTACAAAGGTGTTCGTTCAGCTGTTTTTTAATAATTTACCAACAGAAATTAGAAACAAAACAATCTGGAATAATTTTAAAAATTATCTTTGAAAATTTATACTGGACAATGAAGTCTAATGTTGCAATTTATCTTGAATTTATTGACGACTTTATTTTGAATATTATAAAAAGTAAAAAAAAATCTTAGATGATTTGCATAATGCTATCGCCTATTATACACTAAATAATTGGACCAACTAAAATTTAAAACCCAAAAAATTCTGTTATTTCACAACCGAATTAACTATAAATCACGCATTTATATGACGTTAATAACAATACATAATTAATTACCTTTCGCATCCTCAACAACAATTATAGTACTTTCATGTGAACTTTGCACAAAAAGTGCAAAATTAATTCCGATAATTAAAATAAATTCTATATAAGATTTTTGAAACATATTCATGTTTCTAAATTTTTTTTTCTATTATTATTATTAAAAAATATTAAATTATATTAAATTGTTATAATTAATAAAATTGTATAAAATTAAATTTCTATAACTTTTTAATTTAATTCTAAATTTTTAAACTACAAGTAAATTTTAATCACAGTAAAAGTTTTAATTCATTTTTTTCCCTATATAAAGAACACTTAAGTAAACGGCAGGATTAATGTAATTATTTTATAGACTTACAATTCAAAAAATTAATTTAATTTTATGTTAAAAAATTGGCAAACACTTTCGCAACATTCTTCTTTTTTTTTTTGGTTTTATTTTTAAATTACGAAATTTAACCTTTAATTATTATGAAACAAAAATAAATTGTCTTTAAAATTTAGGTTTTTCTTTTATTAATTTGTTTATGTCAACGAGTTTTAAAATAAATTTAAAAAAAATTACATCATATTTAGCATAAATTTTATTTAAATTAAAATTTCAAATTCAGTGTAATCTGGTCTTTTTTTTTATGGTCTCAATTCATTTTAATCCAATTTACTTTGTATTTCGTGATGTGCAAGTTTAGTCTACCATTCCAAAATGATTTTAGAGACAAAGTTAATAAAAACTAACAATTTTTGACCAGTGTTCTATTTCTTTTTTGTTTTGTTGTTTTTTCCTTTTGTATTTTAACAAAAGAAGTCCTTGTCAAAGCCACATTTTAATTATTTATTTTTTCTTTTGTATCTAATTTTTTTTTTAACTCGGTATAATTGCTTCACAAAAGCACTCGTCTATATAATATTATTAATAAATCTAAATCTGAATGAATTCTAAAACAAAAAAAAAAAAAGAAATAAAAATTAAAATGGAAAATACTGAAAATAAAAGTGCGGAAAACGCGATTGCGTGCATTAATTGACAATAGACAAATTTTTTTCTGTCAATAAATAGGCTAAAATTGCGCGTACAAAACAGATAACATACAATTATTTTTTATTTAGTAAAATATTGACATACAATTTTTACTATCACTTTGGTCAAATTTTATTATATAATTTTTAAGTAATGAATAACGATTTAAAAATTCCCGATATAAAACTTGAAAAATATTTCGGATAACAATCGAATAATTTATTTATCACCATTAATTCATTATTTTTTTATTAATATTAAAAACTATTTATTCTGAATTTAAATTTTCTAATTATATTAATTATTAATTATATTATAATTTACAATCATTAAAATTTTATAATTTAAATTCTAATTAATATTAATTATAACACATAAATATTTTTTTAAATTGATTTAATAATAAATATATATTAGAGTTTAATTAATATTTCAATATTCAAATTTTATTATCGTCATTTCATTATCAGAATTACAATCAAATCGCGTGCGTCAATATAATATTTTTTAAAGTAGCGACACCTCTACGAACATAATCGAATAACATTTTTAATATAAAAAAATCAAAATACAACTGACTCTAAATATATTCAGACAGTTGGTTTTATATAAAATTTTTTAAAAATAACAATAATAAAAAAAAAAATGAAAATTTTTTTTTAAAAGAACAAAAAATAACTATAATGTTAATGTAATAATATTAAAAACTTAATTTTCAACTTTTGTACTTAGAATCAAATCTAACTAAATAAATTACGTATATATGTATGTATACACCCATATATAGAGGTACCTACGTATATGTAAGTTGATACAACATAATATTAAAATGAAAATAATGAAAGAATTCTATCAACATAAAAAAAACCAAAATATCAACAAAAATTAAGCAAAAAAAAGTAAGTAACTAAAACTAACCTATCACTAAAATTTACTAGAAAAACAATGCATTAAAACATACACGATACACCTATAGAAAATCAACAGTAATCTTTGCTTATAGGTGCTTTAACTATTCTCTACTTTTTTTTAACAATTCCACATATTAATTTTAATGTACATACTCGTATGTATGTAGATATTAGAAAGAGAGAATTTTTAGTGGGGTTTACAATACTTAACAGTTTGTAGTTGAATTTCATTATTATTTTTAATATTTAACTATGCTGCTGTTGCTTTTTGTTTTACTTATTAAAAATTGTGCGGCTGGTTAAGCGATGACAGATAATCATCACTGTGATGATATTGATCAAAATGTTTGACGTAAAAAAAAAAGAGCCAAATTATAAATTTCCATATTTAATATTGTGTATTACATATGAACATACTTAAAGAGCAAAAATTATTAGCAACTATATTTAACTATAATGTTATTATTACGATAACAACATAAATAGTGTTAAACTAACATCATATTTTCAATAAGAGTTACCCAAGGTTTATTTTATTGAAGAGAATATATGTGGGGATATATATTCTATTTCTTTTATTGGTCCCAAAGTGAGCTGTCGTAAAAGATGTCCTTTTACATTTGTTTCTAATTTTTGCAATTTTGGTATAAGAGTTGTGATAAAATGCCGCACGGCAATTCCAAAA